GGCTTTGAAAGTGAAATGACAAGCTATCGAAGGAAACAAATTATCTATATTGGTTTGGCTCGTGCCCTTCCAAATCTGTCCTCTGCATGTGTGACGCCCCTCCAAAGGTTTTTTTTTCCTAGAGTATGATTTTTTTCATATCAAAGTACTATTCCTATCAAGAGTATATTCAAATAGGATCGGAGTCAAGATGCATTAAAGATATAATCGACATACACATCAATGGATACTTTTCTTGTTCCTAGTGGACTTAGGGGAAATAGAGATAGGGACCGAGATGATGGGGGCTGGATAACGTTACAGCCAAATAGATCAACCTCAACCTCCCACCCTGCCTACAGAATCCAGCAGAAGCTCTTGATTGTTGTGTATACCAATCATTTTCTGACCCTTGCCGCCTTTAGTGATCTTTTAATGCTATCGTTTCACTCTCCTCTGGCTACCAGAATATTCTTGTAGTTTCACCTGCTTTTCTTAAGTTGCACTCATCTGTCTGTGAGCTCTTCTTCTGTAAATTCTACCAATTGTGTGTTGGCAATGTTTGTAAAAGGCAGGTGCATCCATGCTGAGGGGGTGTGGGCTTTTTCTTGGCACAACTCCGTGTGATACAGAGGATGATGGTCATTCCACAATGGTTATATGGTATTAGACACTATAAATAATCCATATACATTTCAGAATGTACAAGGTGGAGCGCTTAGATACTGTCATCATGTAAGGGACTCAAGCATCACATTTTATCGTTGTTGGGGGCTCTTCACACTGCACCATTGCAGGTGCTGAAGGGAAGCTCTGCTTTTTTTCTATTTTTCATTCTCAATGGCCTCTTACTGATGAAACATTTGGACAATTGCACCTTTTTCTGTAGAATAACTAACAATTTACTTCCACATACTTTTAATACAGCCTTTCTTTTGATTTAGTATTATTTATCCTTGAAGACTTTCATATAGTATGCAGTATGGTCTAATCATACCTACCCTCACAAGTCTCTTCCAACTCCTTTTGAAGCCCCCAACATCATCTTCTTCTCCCAACTTCATGTCCTCTTCTTTTTCTTTAAAAATAAAAATAATAACTGAGAGACCAACCTAGACCAAATACATGAATGTAGGGCTACCCATTGGGGCAACAGCAACCTACCAGGGTCTAAATCTCCAAAGAAAATGGACTCCCTCTTCCCCAGAAGCCATCAATTTGTCATGAGCTCCTCCCACTCCATGCTGGATTATTGATTGGCTTGCTCTTGAGCAGTTCTTGTGCAGGAGATTACAGCTCCTATGAGTTCATGAGTGTCATGGCCTCAGGTCTAGAAGACACTGCCAGTATACCGTTTCTGGTCCTGTGTCTAGCTCCCACAGTGTTGTATAGCAACAATCTCTTCATGAGCATTTCTCCCCTTAGATCAGGAGCTTTTGGAGGCTGGCGCTCTGCCTTCCTTGCTTTCATCTTCATAGACCATGGCTCATAATTTCGCATCTCTGTCCTCTCTGTCATGTAACCAGCCAGGAGGGTCCCAGGAGATTCTATTCTTTTCTGCTCACATGACACTGCTTCTTTTTGCCTCCCTAAGAGAGTGTCTCATCTGTGGCTTTGAGGCCTTGTGAGGTTTCTGCTTGTGACAGGGTTTGATCTGCAGTCACACCAGAACAGCAAAATCGATGTGGTAGGGAAGCACCCTCCAGCCACTGACTGAGTGACCAGGGATATTGAGTTTTCATGGTAGACCACAATGGCAATATTTGGAAACTTTGGTCCAATGCCTTCTGTGCATCAACGCTGTGGATGAACAGGTGCTACCCAAGCAAGGTGCTTCTGGGTACCAAGATTATAGTAGTCCCTCAGTGTGTTTCTCCTCTTGAAGTGATGCTGGGAGGTAAACCACTCCATTACCATCAGGGTCTGGCCAGCATGGACATGCCTCCTGGTCATGTGAGTGATGTAGCATAACAGAAAATAACCTACTTGCTATTCATATACCAAGACTACAATTTTCAATCATATCTGAATGACTGGTGTTTGTTAAATTACTTCCTATCATGAACTAAATATTAATGTTTGCCTTCTACATGTGCTTAAGTAATAAGGAGATCATGGTTGGGGAGGGGTGGGTAACATATTTACACAGCACTATTCTAGTCTTGCAAATATGTTTTTCAAATGATCACTGTAAACTTTAGAAGCCAAGAAGAGAAGAATGGAGTATGGGCTGAAGAAGCACAGCGCTTCAATCTGATAATGGATGGTGCTTCCCTTTAAAAACAAATGTCACTGAGGGAGGTTGGATAATGAGCACTTGCTATTCATTATTCTCCACATTTCTCTATATATTTAAACATCTTGATCTTAAAACATCCTGCCCATAGGATTAGAATGTTTTAAGAACTAATATGGCCATTGTCAATTATATCCAAATTTTCTACTTTTGACCTTGAAGAGAAGCTCGGCTGTTCTCGTTGCTGAATCTCTTTCCCCTGTAAAAGGCTGTCACCTTTGCCTCATTATTTTGTGTGAGGGAATCTCAATTTCTGAAACTTTGACTTTAAAAATTGAAGTAAGCTGAGCCTGGTAGTGAAGACCTGTAAATCCAGCAACCCAGAGGCTGAGGCAGGAGGATTGCAAATCCCAGGCTGGCCCATGCCCAAGAGAAAATTCAAAGCTGACCTAAACAACTTATGAGGCTGTCAGTGTGGGAATGACAACGGAAGGGCGTGCTACCTAGGAAGCTCATGGGTGAGACCGCAAAAGCCTGCATTCCATCCCCAGCTACTCCGGCCACATGAAGCCAAAGTATGAAAATATCTGGATCTCTGCGATGTAGGAACCCAAAGACCTCTACATCCTGATTCATAGAACTTGCTAATAATTTACATTGTGTGATAAACAGGAGATTGCAAATGATATTTAAGTAGGTTCTTGAGATGGGGAGATTGCAATAATAACAATCAAAAGGGTGTAGGGGAATCACAGAACCCTTATGAAAGGGAGTTATCATTATCACAGTCAGGAATGTTAGACGCAGAGTGATGTGGCCACTAGCCAAAGATTTTAAGCAGCCTCTAGAAGGTAGAGCAGAAAAAAAAAAAAAAGGGACAGATTCTCCTTGGAAGTTTCCAGAAGGAGCACAGCTCAATCAACATCATGATTTATTTTTTTTTAGCTGAATTCAAATTATTTTTGATTTTGACATATGGAAAGTGAGATGATCAAATGAACTGTGAAGCCCTAATTTCTTACAGTAGACCCAGGAAACCAGTGCACAAATACAGATAGCCTGATTCTGGAGAGGCGAGGAGTCAGTGCTTGACAAGTAGTGGAAGCTTTCTCTCGCACAAGACCACTGGGCTCACTAAGAAACTCTCAGGAGTGCGGGTCAGGTCTAAACATCACTGGCTTGCATCAGCGTCCCTGGTTAAGCACTTGGGCAGCATCGTTTACTGGCTGTGAGATGCTGAGTCCTCCTTTGTTCTCCCATGGATGAACGTGGAGGCGATAATAGAACCTGCCTCATAAACGGGTTATGAGGATTAGCCGACCCAGCCCCTACATAGTGTTTGCTCAGTCCCTGGCTCCTAGGAAAGGCTCTCCAAACACGAGCCCGTATTGTATAAGCTCTCAGCTATGCACAGGCTTTGCCATGTTTCTGGCTGCTCATTTTTATTGGCTCATTTAAAAGGCTTACCCTTTCTTTTGGAAACCGCATGAATTATATGTTCTTCACCCATATAAATCTAAAAGAAACACTTCCTTGTTCTAGCGGTAGTGGTGACATTGTGTCTAAATGCAAACTCCTTGCATAGGTGGAGCGTCTGTTTTGTTTTAATAAAAAAAAACAACATAAAACCGTTTATGTGAGGAATGTATCTCTTTGTTGCAAGGGCACAGGCTTGTGACTACCTGCTAGCTCTGATCTCAGAGCATCTGAGCTTTGCCTTATTCAACTTATTCTTGGGTTAAGGAAGCCCACTGCACAGGGGGTGGATCATGCATGTTGGTGTGGCTCTGGACTCGGATCAGATCCACCATGACTGGAAGTTGCTTTATCCCTTGGCTATCACTCAGTGGGAGCTGAGGTAGCTCACCAGAGTCCCCCCCCCCCCCCCCGTTCTGTTTAAGCCTTCAGCTCATTCTCGCAATGAAGTCCTTTGGCATTGTGTGGGCACCGTAGTCTTCATAGAGGACTTGGTATATGCTTGTCACCTGCACCTCATTATATTTCCTTCTATGGGTGGCATTCGAGTTGATTGGGGGTGATATCCTGGACTGATAGGAACTTGTGTGTCCATGAAGCAGGCAGTAGTCAAGAGCATGAAATGCTTTGCATGTGACAGGCAGTCGGGGACATGAGCTGTGTGCCCAGTGGAGAGAGAGGAGGATGTACGTGGAGGGGGAAAGCAAGTGCCCACCTTGCCAGCATGTGTCTGATCTGACCTTTGCCCGAGGCATGCAAAGATGCCGTGTCAGAATAGCTACCGCAAGAGAGGGAGCAACGAGCACAGTGGCCCCCAAATTGTGAGCGAGATGCTAGAGAAAAGAAATAAAAACTTCCTTTACTTAGGAATTCTTGGAGCCTATTTTGAGTTTCATAGAAATAGACACCACAGACTAGTTGAAATGACATTTATTATATGGAGAAGGGGGTGTGGCAGTGAGGAAGAATAGCAGGGAAGACGCCCAGTGCAGCCTGAGAGAGCGGAGGGGTTTGTGTTGTAGTTCAAGGTTTCTAATGTAATGTAGGAATAGAGTCTATACAAGTGGGAGAGTTGCTTTTATAGGATGAGTGGGTTTCAAATTATTTTGAAATTTTAAAGTTTGGGTCCTCAAAGGAGGGCTGATGGTGATGGTGACCATGGGTTGTTCAGAGAATTTGGATGTCAAGGGATTATTTAGGGCTCTGGGCAAGCAGCCAGCAGAGGGATTGTTTTACGCTTAGGGGCTGACCCTGGTATTCTGACTGTGGTTGAAGCTGTGTTTACATCTAAGCTACATCTCCCTTCTAGAATCACGGCGTGTGCCATGACAATGAATAAGTACGTGGAGGAGAACGTGTCTCAGAAGTCCTACACGACCATCAAGTACTTCATGAAGATGCTGAGCAGCGTGAGCGAGACCTTGATCTTCATCTTCATGGGCGTGTCCACCGTCGGGAAGAACCACGAGTGGAACTGGGCTTTCGTCTGCTTCACGCTGGCCTTCTGTCTGATCTGGCGGGCACTGGGTAAGGAGCAGTCCTTGGCTCAATGAACAGTTGGTGGCAATGACCCAGGAGGACTTCTTTCTGCTCTGGCTGCCTCTTGGTTTTCTTCTTCTTCCTCATCTATTCCCCACTCCTGTTCTTTTCTCACTGACTTCTTCTCCTCGTTCTTTTCCCATCCCCAATTCATTTTCTCTTTCCCCCTTTACCTTGTGCTTATATATTCTCTCAAGGCTCTTACTGTAGATAAAATGAGTCTCTCTTTATGTCTCTAATTCTGATGGGTAGAAGTACGTTATCCTGAAATGATGAGAGTCCAAGAACCCAGGAGTCCCCAGGACTTGCAGGATGGGACACACACTTTGAAGAGTCATAGAGACTCAGAGACTCAGATTCCTTGGTCTGTCCCTGTCTGTCCCTGACCATACTCACACAGTCTGCTTTCTCTGGGTCTCTCTTTGTCCATAGGTGTCTTTGTGCTGACTCAAGTGATTAACTGGTTCCGGACCATTCCTCTGACCTTCAAGGACCAGTTCATCATTGCCTATGGAGGGCTGCGAGGTGCCATCTGCTTCGCGCTGGTGTTCCTCCTCCCTGCTACTGTGTTTCCCCGGAAGAAGCTCTTCATCACGGCCGCCATTGTTGTTATATTCTTCACAGTCTTCATCCTGGTGAGTGTGGCTAGCTATTTCTTCTAGAAGAGTCTCTCCCTCCTTTCTCAGGAGACAAGCACTTTCTGGTCACTCAGCTGTAGTGGTGGAGGCAAAGTGGCATAGGTGTGTTGAAGCTCTGGGAGTCATTCAAACAAGGAACATGATACTTCCTGTCTGCATTCACGTGTTGGATTGCGTTAGACATTACAAGAGTCCAATTTGGTCACTTGGCCCCCAGAGAGGAAACAGTTATTTAAGGAAACTCAGCTCAGGGATTGGTGTTTACTGCTGGAAACTGTCAAGGTGCATGTCCCAGCCCTAATCCTTGTCATTTGCCTTGCTCCTGGACCTGGTAAATGTACTGGCTAAGTGCTGGTTCTGAGCCATGACCTTCCAACAGCTCTTTGACAGGAGTTGGCTTTTGACAGCACTTTGTCTGGAGCAGGGGAATGGTGAGTCCAGCACGCTATGGGGAAGCAGTAAGAAGGGTTGGTCCCACTTTGCCAGTTACTCAATACGCCAGCTCCTGGGAGATTATAGTTTGTGCATAGTCCTTCAACAAATATTTGTTTGTCTTGTGCTCTGTGAACTGCACCGCTGTCCGAATTAAGAATTCTTACCTGAGCAAAATATAAGAATAGATTCCTGCCTCTGCAGTGCTCCCATTTCTGCCAGTGATGAGGGGAGTGTGGTATATGCTAGGAGAGAAACTTGATAGTAAAGTATGGAATATACTTAAAGGGGGAAGATGCTATATATTAAATAAGACAGGGATGAGGAGTGAAGAGGGTGACATAGGCCGTGGGTAGGTGACAACTCTCAATTGATGCTCATAGAAGGGAAAATTGGGGACTATGACATTTGAGCAAAGGCCTGCAGGGGTGGAGGCTTTAACCAAGATGGAGGACATTCCAGCACATGTGCAGAGGGAGATCATTTTTCCTGGATGCAGAATGTTCTTGGCCAGAGTGGAGGGTTGGCTACTTGAATCCCCTCCTTAAACTTGGGGGACACCACACATCCTCTGTGTATTGAGGGGATGAATGTTCCCTTAATTTCATCTTTTCTCTTCAGAATCTATGGAACATTTGCAACAAGCCATTCAAGTTGCTCCTCACACATTTGGGATAAAATGCGACACAAAGCAATTCTATCTTGGATTTTCACCTCCCACCGTGGCCTAGGGCAGAATGCATGTGAATAGAGACCAGGAAGGGGTAGGGATTTTCATCTTCTTCCAAGACCAGCTGATTACCTGGCTGTCCCCTGAGGCCCTCATAGCTGTACAGTGCACAGAACCAAGAGGCCGCTCCTCCCAGAACAGATACTGTCATCTCAGAGTACCAGACACAAAAATAGAATTGTATCATCCTAGTGGGATGAGGAACTAGGTCACTGGGAGAGGACCACAGTCCCCAGTACAAGTTTTCAAGTGCCTATAGTACAAAGTCAGTTCTCTGCCCCAGGCATCATGTGTTTGATGCAATTATTGAATTCAACTGGTGCTATTTCATAGAAAGACATTAATTGAAGATAGGACATGACACTCCATCCAATTTTAATAGTTTTTAGTCGCTAGTCTTATCAAACATAAAAATGCATATCTATAGCTAGAACGCTATATATGAAAAAAGTATTAAAATAAATACCATTAGTCATAGAATGCATATATAGATGATTCATATTAACACATGAATACAGAGTTATGAGTAATAATTTTGACTTATTTTGGGTTCAGACTCAATCAAGAAATAAAAGTAAATTATCAATTACCTACATTACATGCCTTTCCACTCTCTTTGTTTTGTTCTATTTGTCGAGACAAAGTCTCACTGCGTAACACTGGCTGGCTGAGAACTCAGTTTGTACACAAGGCAGACCTCATATTCAAAAGCTCTGTCTGCCTCTGCCTTCTGAGTGATAGGATTAAGGACACATACAATGTGTATGAATATTTGATATTTAATATCACAGACAAACTTGCTCTTTTGGCTTGCAACAGTTTGGAAGTGGGAATCTAAATTTATCTCTTTGCTGACTCGCAGCTGATCATCTATAAGTCATCATAAGCCTTGGGCAACATGCTGTGGGCTTTCATATTCTATGCCTTAGGCTATTATCAATGACGCTACAGTAAACAAGCATAACTTAAGCATAAGTTAAGGCACCTTGGATAGATAATTTTGGCCACAGAAATGTAAGATTGGCGAAGTCCTTTGTGGAACTAACGGTGAATCTAAGGTATGAAGGATGTGAAACCAGCTGGCATCTGGTCAAATAACATTCAAGGTAGAAGGGAGAGCTGACACTCAATCCTAAAACAGAAAATATTCAGAACAGGAGTGATGTTCAGATGACCACCCTGGAGCAGGGAGATGAAGGCACACACTGCTGAGTTCAGAAAGCTCAGGTAGATTCTGCTTTTAACTGAAAGGGATTGAGAAACTCTGGAGCAGGAGAATGGCTTTGAACCGACATCACTGGATCTTTGGTGAGAGTGAAATGTGGGGAACAAAAGTAGAAGCAAGGAGAGTGATGTGGGTGCTTGTGTGTGAGGGGAAAGGTGTGTGTTCAGGTCCTAATGGTGAAGAAGGGACTCAGGCAACAGACAGACAGTAGGAGCCTTGCATTGGCTGCTTTGAGTATGGTGAACACATTGAGTTAACTAACCCTCTATTGAAGATGCATTTTAGGGCTCAGTATTTAGGCCATGCTAGCGCACCAAGGCTAGGCTTTCCCATTATAAACTAAAGGATCACTTGGTCAAGTTCATTCTGATGGCCATAGGAAAGGAGTGACCATAGTTCTCCACTTTCTATTCGTGTTCCCTTTCTGTTCCAGTGTGTGCACGCCACTTGACTATGACCCACTTCTGATGGAGGAAGGTCATTGGCTAATAAAGGAACTGCCTTGGCCCATTTTATTGGTTAGGACATAGGTAGGTGGAGTAAACACAACAGAATGCCGGGAGGAAGAGGAAGTGAGGTCAGACTCGAAAGCTCTGCTTTCTGGAGCAGACGCCTGAGAGAGACGCCATGCTCCTGGCTCCTGGGCAGCCGCACGCTATGAAGCTCTGACCCAGGATGGACATAGGCTAGATTCTTCCCGGTAAGTGCACCTAGGGGCGCAACACAGATGATTAGAAATGGGCTAAATTAATATGTGAGAATTAGCTTAGAAGAGGCTAGATAGAAATGGGCCAAGCAGTAATTAAATGAATATAGTTTGTATGTTGTTATTTCGGGCATAAGCTAGCCGTGCAGGCGGCCGGGGTGCTGGGAACACAGCCCCGCCGCCCCTATTACTACACACTTCTCTTCTTCCCATACAGCTCTCATCACTGTTTCTCCAGACACTATAAACACACACATGCCCATGCATGTGCATGCAAGTTTACACCCACATTCTTCAAAAAGAAAGATTGGTTTTAATCAGAATAGATCAGTGAAATAAACCTAGAGAGAAATCTTTTGTTTGTTGTTTTTTTTTTTGAGAAATGTAACAGCTCTGGCTGTCCTAGAACTCACTTTGTAGACCAAATTGGCCTCAAACTCACAGAGATCTGCCTGCCTCTGTTTCCTGAGTGCTGGAACGAAAGACACGTGCCACCATAGAGTACCTAGTTACAAGTCCATGCATGGAATTGTACCTTTCAAATAAGGCACCTATTCTCCAAATGACAGCTTTGCTGTTGCTGGAACTGTTACTCAATCTTAAAAATAATTTAGTTGTGTATAAGCATGTGTGTGTGTGTGTGTGTGTGTGTGTGTGTGTACCACACATATGCATTCATGGTACTCTCACAGGCCAGAAGAGGGCAGCAAATCCCCTGGAACTTGAGTTACATGCAGTGATGAGGTGCCATGTGAATGCTGGGAATGAAACCTGGGTCTTCTGTAAGAGCTGCCCGTGCCCTTACCCATTGAGCCATCTCACCAGGAACCCCTGTTATTGAATTTAAAGATTGAATTCCCTCTCCTTACTACATAATTTCTTGAAGGATAAATTCTTCAGTCCGATCTATCAAGTTATGACTGCCTTCAAAAACAGGTTACATGTGACATGATTTGTTATTTATCATAAAGTTGTCACGATAATTTAAACATTGCCTAAATCATGTTGCTAATTTGAGCAGCACATTATCATGCCACTGGGTGCAGCATTACTTATGGAAGAGCAAATGAATGAACAATCTTGATTTCTAGACATCTGAGTTCATTTCCTTTCAATAAAACTAGTAATGTTACTTATGCACAACATGACCTGTTGCTCATGGTTTAAAATTATATTACAAATTAACAACTGTGGGGTATAGAACGAAAAACCCAGGCTTGAATAGAGTCAATCTTGACCTTGTTTCATGTAAGTGACTTCTCTCTCAAGTGTTGTAGGGATGTATATATATATATATATATATATATATATATATATATATACACACACACACACACACACACACACACACACATACATATAGTAGGGCCTGCACTACTGCACTATGGGATGGTACATGAGCTGGAAACTAGGCTGGAGATTTGAAATCATACACACACAGACAGAGACACAGGGGCACAGGTCACCCTTGATACAAGAATGACAACTTTATTATGCTCAGGGGCAGCTTATATAGGGCTCTAGCCATGCCCCAGCTCTCAGGAGCTTTCAATCACAGGTTCACCAGAAACTACTCTCCTGCCATCAAGGTCTCGTGCTCAGAGCAGCTGCAGGCACAGGTAAACAAGTTGTTTTGCTCAGTTCACTCCAGCAGGCAAAGGTCTGAGGCAGGCAAAGAAAGTCAAGGGGCCAGGGGTCTGCAGCCCCCAACATACATACACACACACACACACACACACACACACACGTACACACACAGTACAATATCTGGCATTGAGTTTTGACCTCATGATTTCATATAAAATATTAGGCTAAACAATAATAGAAGTGAAAAGTTGGTGTCCTTCAGTATACTTCCATTTGAACAAAAAGATAGGGTACTGTAATCATTATTTAGTTATTCC